TATTCATATAATCCTCCTGAGGATGTGATATTGCTGAGCTCATAATGAAGACTGGTGTACAGAATGTTTTACATCTATGCTGAAAATAAGTTCCTGCTGCTTTTTGTCTCAGCTTTTCTGTCTCACCTTGTTTAACTGGTTAGGGATTCAGGAACCTTCGGAAACAAAAACTGCAGAAATAAAATGGTGGAATTGCTAAAGCAACTAAACCGTTACTGGTCACAACTTTGACTCTAAGATCAAATAGCCAAAAAAACACAGAAAGTATGCTGAAGCTTTTCTGTTTTATTGAGGGTACAGGAAAAAAAGCCAGATGAAGATAAAGTAACTTTGGAAGCAAAGCAAAGAAAATAACATAACGTCTGGGTTGTCTAGGACACAAGGACCATGAATTCATACACTGGAATGAAGTAGCAGTAGACATCAGCTTGTCAGTTCAAATTGAACCTTTGGGGAGACATGTGAAAAAGAAAGCACACCCTTGTTGTAGCAGGTTTTTCGGGCTGTTTGGCTGTGTTCTGAGAGGTCTTCTCCCTAACATTTTGCCAGTCTCCATGGCTGACATCTTCAGAGGACAGGAGTTAGAACTCTGCTTGTGTTCTGGTGTAGTATGTGGGATAGCTGAGTATTTGTAGCTATGGGACCAGCTTTTTGTCCTTTTCAGGAGTTTGGGTGATTATGGTGATCAGGGTATTTTTTTTTTGTTATGGCCTTTGAGAATACAAAGCACACCCTCTTTGAATTCTGTGGTTTTATGTATCAGGACATAATAAAAATCATCTAGTCCTTAGCAGCTCTGAAAATTAGGTAAATACAACCTCAGATGAACAATAACACATGGCTTATTACACCGTGTCATTATTTATTCTACAAAAATAAAGCCAAAATGGAGAAGTCATGTGTGAAAAACTAAATCCCCCTTATGATTTAATAGCTTTGTAAGATGATCTTGTGTGCCTTCTTTCTTTTTGAAACTTAGCTTGTGCATCAGGCAGTTCTTGCTCCATATAAAGAAAACACGTTTGTTGCATCTCCTTGAGCATCACTTTGCTTGCATGGGAAATTAGAATCCTATCATTACTGCATCTCCTTTCCTGTGAATTACTGAGTGTTGTCAATCATGGTCTTGTTCTCCACATTTCATGGCATATTCTTGTTAGGATTTTGATGGACCCCTGGTGATTTATTTCTTCCTAGGGCTTTAAGAGCAACTTTTAATTTTCAGGTTCATTATAGGGTTCCTCTTCAAAGAGTTTTCCAACCTTTTATCTCTATATATAGTTCTTTAGTATGCAGCTTCAACCTTCAAATATTCTTGAAGAGGGAGGCGATTTTAGCCTTTGTTTGTCATGAATGCTTCTATCAGAGTTTTTGCTACCTAACAGATGAATGTTGGAGTACATTCTGTGTCTCCTTAATCTAAACAACCAAATACCATTAAATTCTATTGGATTTTGTAAGGGTTTCATACCCAGAGAAGGATAGAGGCTAGTTTGTTGTTGTTGTTGTTGTTGTTGTTGTTGTTGTTGTTGTTGTTGTTGTTGTTGTTGTTGTTGTTGTTGTTGTTGTTGTTGTTTTGCAGGGAGACAGCTGGGCCTAATAGTATGCAGTATGAAGTAACAATAGTGTTTCCCTTGCAATTTCTTCGTCACCATTGTTAACAATGATTAAGGTGAGCATGAGTAGATTCCTCAGAAGCTGTGTAGTTCAGTTAACCTGCAGAACAGTTTGTGTATTTCTGTTTTATTGCTTTTTGCTAGGGTTTGACTCTGTGGAAGTTAATGCACAGCTAAAATATGTTTATGCAGTAACATTTGTGGTTTGAATGAATTGCCTGTATTTCAGGCACGGTCAAATAAATGCAATAGCTTGTAGATTCTTTGTCAGAAGCAATCACCTGTTTAAAGGATACAACCTCACCATCAGCCCGGAGACAAGAGGCTGTCCCCCCCTCCAAATTTTTTGTACTCACTGTGCATACACAATTTTTGGGCAGCCCCCTAGTTATACTTTTCCACTTTTAGTTCTTTGAAGGAAAAACATCCAATTTAAATCAAAATCAGTTTTGTGCAATGTGGAAGTGTACTATCGATAACTTTATATTACTGGTGAAAATTTATACAGAAATCATAAAACCAGTGGGGACATGTAGCCAGTGGACGCACTCATTGGACAGTAGAAATGCGGTAAACAAAAGCAATAGAGGGGCTGTGAAAGGAACTGAACTGCAAGGCATTATAATGATCCTGAAAATGCTGAAAGTAATACTTCATCTCCATGCACACAGTGATAGGGCAAGGTGGGGGAGGGGAGCACCTCACAGAAGAGAGACAGAGGGCATTATAATGATCCTGAAAATGCAAAGAGTAATACTTCATCTCCATGCACACAGTAATAGGGCAAGGTGTAGAGAGGGGAGCACCTCACAGAAGAGAGACAGAGACCGCTGCTAGTCATTTAACATAACTCTTTGTTGTTGTTGTTGTTGTTGTTAAGTCTTGTCCGACTCTTCGTGACCCTATGGACCAGAGCACGCCAGGCCCTCCTGTCTTCCACTGACTCCCGGAGTTTGATGAAATTCATGTTGGTAGCTTCGGTGACCCTGTCCAACCATCTCGTCCTCTGGCGTCCCCTCCTCCTCCTGCCTTCGCCCTTTCCCAACATGAGGGTCTTTTCCAGGGAGTCTTCTCGTGAGATGGCCAAAGGATTGGAGCCTCAGTTTCAGGATCTGTCCTTCAAGTGAGCACTCAGGGTTGATTTCCTTCAGAATGGATAGGTTTGTTCTCTTTGCAGTCCAGGAGACTCTCAAGAGTCTCCTCCAGCACCATATAACTCTTTACATTATATTAAACAGAACTGTTTATGTTACAATTCCCTACCAACAGAATATTAGGATAAATGTATCATGGTGGAAATAAGACCCTTTTCTCCACCAGTGATTTTACATGTGGGAAGAATGAGAGGAAGACAAGAGGGGCTCATACACCAGACCGAGATAATTCTGAGCAGTTTGGTTTTGCTTGAAGAAAAGGTGATCGACCTGTGATCCATGAGCCACATACCCAAGTGTGCAAGTGTGGTAATGCCATATGGTAATTCATTCATTTATGTAAGGTCAGGCATTTATTAGTTACTGCATTTGTGATTACCTATGCATAGATTATAAGATATTTTACAAAATGTTTATAAAGAAGGGACTTTAATGTACTTTATAACCTTAATTATTTAATTCGAAACATTAATTTAGAATAGTTTTCCTCCCTTTTGTTTGGGAGGAAACTATCATTGTTATTGTTTCAGCGTGAAAGAGTTTACATCACTGCCCAGCCATGGAAACCTAGTGGAGTAGCAATTTCTTACGTTACCACTGATACTGATTTGCTAGCTCATTGGTGTTACAGTAGGGAAGCAAATGGTGAAGAATTTGATTCCTCACTGTGATATATAGAAGAGCCAGCATCAAAGTCCAAAGCACCTCCATACAAAACGGCTGGTAAATCTACGTAACACTGAAAAGGTTCTCAGTAAATCAGAACTGACGAGACAGCATATTGGCCAAAACTTTTATTGTACTCCTGTTACAAAATAATTTTTAGAACACCATAAAGCTATCAAGGACAATGGCTTCCATCATGCAGAAAGGCAATGTCTGCACAATAGCACTTGGACAGATTCCATTCCCGTCCTCGCCAAATCAGAGCCAACAATTCAGCTTCATTTTCCAGAAAATAACACTTGGTGGATTACTAAGAATAAAATTAAGTGTTATTGCACAGAAAGGCTTGTGGCTAGTTGTGTGGGGAAATTATAAGGCGTGAGAACAGAATGCTGCAGAGGTTGAATAGCTCTTTCAAAAATTTATACATGGAAAAGGACTACAGTGGTGCCTCGCATAGCGATTGCTCCGTTTAAGTGTTGAAATCGCTTTGCGATGAACTTTTTGCAATCGCTTTTGCGATCGCTTTACGATGTTCCCTATGGGGCATTTTCGCTTTGCGATGAAGATCATCGCAAAGTGACCATTTTCACACAGCTGATCGGCGGTTTCAAAATGGCCACCAGGAAAAAAACATGGCCGCCTGCTGCTTTCTGGGATGGATTCCTTGCTTTACAGGCACCGAAAATGGCCACCGTATGGAGGATCTTCGCTGGACGAGCAGGTATTTAGCCCATTGGAATGCATTGAACAGTTTTCAATGCGTTTCAATGGGTTTTTTAATATCACATAGCGACGGTTTCGTTCAACAGCGATTTCGCTGGAACGAATTAATGTCGCAATGCGAGGCACCACTGTATTAGCTGTGTAACATAATGAGAAGAAAGAGAGCAAGAGAAAAAACTTTTAATCCCCATCCTGTCATTTGTAAGATACAGTGGTGCCTCGACTTACGAACGTCCCTATTTGCGAACAATTTGAGTTACGAATGGCTCTGTTCGCAAAAAGTTGCTTCGACCTGCGAACAGAGCTTCGACTTACGAACCAAAAAGAAAAAAGAGAGAAAAAACCCCTTTCCTGCCCTTTTTTGACCTAAATTCACCTTATGTCAAAAGAAGAAAAAATGTTTTAAAAAATTTCCCCTAGTGGTAGAGTATGGATTAACCAGCTTTGCATTAGTTCCTATGGGAACTAATGCCTTTACCAATGAACAGCGCCTTGACCTACGAACGGAAAACAGCAGATTTACCAATGAACAGCGCCTCGACCTACGAATGGAAAACAGCAGATATGGATTAAATGGTTTTCAATGCATTTCAATGGAAAAGTTTGTCACGACTTACTGTACAAACTTTTTGACATACGAATTTAATTCCAATACAGATTAAGTTTGTAAGTTGAGGTACCATTGTATGTGCATCACCTTAGCCTTCTGATGCACTCTGGTGGCTGGAGCAAGGAACTAGCTGTGGCAAAGGGACCCTGAATGTGAAATCTATCAGGTAGAATCAAGAAGCATTGCTTTGAGAACCTGCATGAAAAGAAAGCAAAAAGGCTCACGTACAAATTTAATTCCAATACAGATTAAGTTTGTAAGTTGAGGTACCATTGTATGTGCATCACCTTAGCCTTCTGATGCACTCTGGTGGCTGGAGCAAGGAACTAGCTGTGGCAAAGGGACCCTGAATGTGAAATCTATCAGGTAGAATCAAGAAGCATTGCTTTGAGAACCTGCATGAAAAGAAAGCAAAAAGGCTCAGATTCTTGGTGACATTGACAGGGGTCTAGTTAGGTATGGGCCAAAAAAGAGAGATGAAGGTGAAATTCTGAAGAGCCAGATACCCATCATCATCCTTTGTCATAGGAAGTGATTCCCCCATGCTCGTGAAGCTGGGCTGAATATATGTTTTGGATTCTGGCTTTGTGCACAGACTGTAGATGGGGCATTAAACACACACACATCCTGTGCATTATTTGAACCGTCACAAACATTCAATGGAACCAGCTCTTCCAAAACCAACATCAAGGATACTGGATTTTAAATTGAACTGTGGCATATTCTGGCTCCATAGTACTGATAATAAGAATGTTCAACAAGGCTGTGGCAGGGCTTATAATAAGTTGTTTTTTTATCTCCAACCAGGATGGCCCATGATCAACTTACCGCTGACTGGATGGTTTCACATTGCATGCTATTCCGATCTTGGTGCCATGTATTCAGCAAAATAAATGGTGTATCCCATTGCCAGGACTTGGAGAGGAAGTCAACAAAACCCTTGTTTTGTTGGAGGAGACATAGCATGCATCCCAGTCTCCTCAGAGTCAACTAAGCTAAGGGATTCTGTGTTGGGATCCCCTCTTCTTCCAACCCCCTAGTTTTGAAGATGTTGCTAACTACATACATTGCTCAAGCATTTGCTTTCAGATTTATTGCAGTCATGGATGCAGAATCGTGTCTGTGATATCAAATTCTGAGATGCATGGCAGAACACACACGGTTATGTCAATAATAGCCCCGGTGCACCATGATGATCACTATTCCGATTAAAGCAAAATACTCCAGTCATGTTGATGAACCTGCGCCTCAGATTCCCACAGCACTTCCTTTTCCTTCTTCTGCAAGTCATAATATTTGCTCCTCTCTTTAGATGCGAGCGGACATCTTCTCCAAAAGTGGCTGGCACACACATATAAAGATCATCAGCAGAACTGCAAAATAAAATATGCTTTTTGGAACAAAATCGCTTTAACTTCCTTTACTCTGGGACATTGTAGTAAAGGAAGATGTCGTACAAATGGCATTAACTGTGCTGGCTGAAGAATTCTGGGAACTGCATTCCATACATTTCACATTTTGAAACTAGGAAGTGCAGTAGCTCATGCCTTTCTGTCACATTCAAGCTCACACATAACATTCTATTCACATCAGCTGAAAATCATCCGTTTTAGACTGCATTAATGAAATGGACCATGTGGTTTTTGACCCACATGTACTAGGCTTAACACAAGCCGGTGTCCTTTGAATATATTACAGTGGTGCCTCGCTAGACAGTTACCCCGCATGACAGTTTTTCCGCTAGACATTGACTTTTTGCAATCGCTATAGCGATTCGCAAAACAGTGATTCCTATGGGGGAATTTCGCTGGACAATGTTTGGTCCCTGATTCGCAAACCGATTTTCGCTAGACGACAATTTTGACAGCTCCCTACGCGCTCGCAAAACAGGTGTTGTCGTAACCTAAGCTTCGCAAGACAGCAATTTAAACAGCTGATCGGTGGTTCGCAAAGCGGCTTTCCTATGGCCGATCTTCGCTAGACAACAATGATTCTTCCCCATTGAACCGCATTAAACAGGTTTCAATGCATTCCAATGGGGACAACGATTTCAGTGGAACAGATTATCATCGTCTAGCGAGGCACCACTGTACTGTACTGTTATGTTCACATGAAGACACATGAACAGATAACACTGATCTCACTAGTTATGAGGGCAGACACATTTCTGTTGCCATGAACATGATGATCTGGATGTTGTGACCCACTTGAAGAGCAACATAAAAATATATATTGAGAAATGTATTATAAAGGTGGAAGACCTTTGTAGTTTGAGCATATTTATTTATTTATTTATTTATTTATTTATTTATTTATTTATTTATTTATTTATTTATTTATTTATTGCAATCCACCTATTTTGGAGTCAATTGTAAGGCACAGAGTTCTAGTGCTGCCATCCTCTCCTCAGCACCTTCTACCCTGGGGATGCAGGCAGGTCAGTAGGTATTCCCAGCAAACCATGGAAACAATAGCTAAAATCTAGTTAAGTGACAACTAGAATTGAATGTGTGGATTTGGTGAGTAAACCAAAGCCAATGGGTCCAAGTCTTGCCTTGAAGAGTTTGATGTAACGGTTGACCTATTCTAACCTATGTGAGACCAAGAAATAATGTAGGAATGATGGCCAGATCCAAATCCAGTCTCCTGTTTCTACAGTAGCCAGAGGTGCTTATTCCAAGTACATTGCAGCTAATCATAATAGTAACCGACTGATTGATTTGAATCAAAATGTTCTTGTACAGGACTCAATGCCATCTAGGAATTTATTTATTTATTTATTTATTTATTTATTTATTTATTTATTGTTTGTTTGTTTGTTTGTTTGTTTGTTTATTTATTTATTTATTTATTTATTTAAATAACAATAATAGAGCACCTAGCTTGTTTTGCATTAATTTGTAAATATCATTTTAAAAGATTACTGTGAGGACAGTCATTCTGTAGCTGCAATTACTGTACTTCTAATTGTGTGCTCTGTAAGTCTTTTGTTTTATCCAGAGCTTGAGAAAGCATTTAGTTTTCTCAGACTGTAACCCCTTTGACCCTCCTGACCATCACGATCAGTGGCTGTGGTGGCTAGGGGAAGAGAGCGTCTGGGAGTTTGTCCACAAAAGGAACTACAGTGGTGCCTCGCAAGATGAATGTAATTCGTTCCGCGAGTAGCGCTGTCTTGCGAAAAAAATCATATTGTGAAAAGCGGTTCCCCATAGGAATGCATTGCATTGCATTCCTATGGGAACTTTGCAAGACGAATGAAATTTTTTCGTCTTGTGAAGCATCAGTCTCGGGGGGAAAAATCATCTTGTGAAGCATGGCCATAGAAGAAGCTGTCTTGCAAGGCACCATATAGATAAAAAAACCATATGTCTTGCGTTTTTTCATCCTGCGAGGCATTAGTCTTGCGAGGCACCACTGTATTCCAATGTTTTCATTCACCCTGAATGTCTCACTGTTCAGAACTACTATCTATCACTCTCAACTCCATTCTATTGAGAAAGCTATTGGCGGTAAGGCTAAAAAAAAAGATTGTGAGTTTTAGAAATATTTACAAAGTAAAATACAGACCTTCCAGCGATTGCCACATTCATTGCATAGCACAAAAGTAGTCATCGGCTCATCTGCACTCCGTGTTTGCACCTGAAGGGGAAAGCCATCTGTGATCAGAGGCAGGCAGAATTGTTCTTCGAAACAACAGGGATATAAATACAACAGCCAAGAGTCTAGAATGTATTTCCCAATTGAGCTGCAAACTAATAATTGTCATTCATTACTAGACAACTTCTACGTCAAGCAAAGTTAACTTTACAGCTTCCCTAGATTACATATAAACCCAAATCCTTCCTTTATCAACCCTGCATACTAACAATGCCAAAAGAATTATTTATTATTTTATTTTATTATTATTGCCTTGTGCCATATTTGAGGGAGTATCAGTGACATTTTGCTATCTTTTGAAGACCGCCCAAGCTGTCCTCTCTTGAATGCCTTAAATTTTTAAAATATGTTATTTTGGCCACAGAAGGGAAATTTTCTGGGTTAAATAAAAAAGTTTTTGCATGAAAAAGTATTTGTGAATGCGGGTTGCAAGAATACAAGCACCCCTTAAGGTTCTCTGTGTGTATGTGTGTTCAACCCTTGTACAACTACCAACCCTGAAAGCCAACATCTGCTTCCCATTCTCTTGAGAAACTGCACAAGCAACAAACAAATCTTTCTTTATATTTATACAGATTTGCTACACGTGGCATGCTAGAACAACAGAATAAATGGTTCCACTTACTTTTGGCTTTGTTTTCACCTTCCACTAGTATGTAGACTTTATCTACACGAGGTCTACATACCTCATTATGGTATGTATAATTAATTAATAGACTAGGCATCCTTCAGTCTCAAGAGACTATGGTAACGTACTCTGTATGGAGGTCTTGGAACATCTTCTAGTGTGGCTGAGAAGGCCAATTCGAGAGTGACAATCCCTTCCACACTGAGGACAAATACAATCTGTCCCCTGTCCAGCTCCCTGATTTTGCTGCTTTCATGACTGCCATTTTGCCTTGGCCTGCTGGACAAAGGTCTCTTCAAATTGGGAGAGGCTGTGATGCAAATCCTGCCTCCAGGCTGAATGCTCAGATGTCAGGGGTTTCCATCTGTTGAGGTCCATTCCTAAAGCCTTCAAATCCTGCTTGCAGATATGCTTGTATCACAGCTGTGGTCTCCCTCTGGGGTGATTTCCCTGCACTAATTCTCCATACAGGAGATCTTTTGGAATCCAACCATCAGCCATTCTCACGACATGCCCAAGCCAATGTAGACGTCGCTGTTTCAGTAATGTATACATGCTACAAATTCCAGCTTGTTCTAGGACTACTCTATTTGGAACTACATACCACAATTCCTGTACAGGTGGGGGGGGGAGGCTGTGCCCATCTCTATTTGAGATAATTAAAATTAAACTAGAAGTCCTTGAGAGAATGTTGGCATCCAGTTTGCCCACCATGCAACCTAGGCAACCTGGTCAGAGACAGCGTCCCAGCTTCCCTGCTTTGCCTCCTCTGTCTACTGCCCCCAAGCCTCTGGAACGAAATAGCACAAACTGCAGAACTAGCAGTTCACGCCCATCTCTAATCTCAGCCACAAGCTCCCTACCTGATTATATGTGCAATTCTTCTTCTTGCATTTGCCACATTGGAAAAGATCAGTTGTAGTTCCCCCAGTCTTTGCCATTTGATGCTCTCGAATGGCTTCTTGGGTCATCGCGTTCCTCAGCTCTTTCAGTTCATCACTAGCCATTTCCTGCAATGTGTAACAGTACAATTTGCAGAAGGATACAATATTTATAATGCAATATTTCTTACTTTTCAGTACAATTTTCAGAGTGCAATATTTATAATGCAATATTTCTTACTTTGATAACTTGCAACATAGGTGTCTGTGTTCTTTTCTACGTAAAGAATCTTGTATGTTACTATGGCCCATCAGTTTGACTTTGGCCAAGACCACACAGATTGCCTCTGGATTAGACAACGTTTGAATAAGCCTCATACATGTCACCTTGAGACCCTTGAAGGAAAGGGAGCCAAGGATGGGTAACAGAGATCACCTACATAGTTTTTGGACTACATCTCTATGGTTGATGGGAAATTATGGCCATAAATATCCACAACTGCCATCCCCTGATATCTGATTTGGTGTAAATGAAACTACAGTCATGCCCCGCTTTACGATTGCGCCGTATAACGATGAATCTGCTTAACGATGCCTTTTTTGAGATCGCAAAAGCGATTGCAAAACAATGCTTCCTATGGGCAAAATCTGCAGTGCGATGATCGGTTCCCTGCTTGGAACCGATTTTTCACATTACAACGATCAGCGAACAGCTGATCGTCGGGTTCCAAAATGGCCACCGGCTGAAGACAATGCCCCCTCCCGCTGTTTTCTAGGATGGATTTCTCGCTAGACAGGCACCGAAAATGGCCGCTGTATGGAGGATCTTCGCTAGACAGTGAGTTTTCAGCCCATTGGAACGCATTAACCGGGTTTTAATGCGTTTCAATGGGTTTTTTTATTTTCGCTTTACGATGTTTTTGCTCTACACTGTATCTAGATTTGAAAGTATATATTATGGTTATGATCCAACATGCTCTCCATACTGACTTCTGCTGTCATCTTGGCAATAAGGCTAGGCGCTATAGCTCCACACAGCACATTGCGACGCAGGTTTGGATTCTTTGGATCCTTCAGGTTGCTGATTCGGCTCCTGACACGGTTGCGGTACTTTATGTCTGTACTCTTCAGCTCCTGGTAGATATGTAGCTGCATCAAGGAATCATGGAATACAAATGGAACATAAGTACAACCGGAATGGAAAAGAAATGCACTTTGGTTGGTAGTTGTCTTTATGGACAAAAAGTTTAGAATCTGATTTCTGCCATCTCCAGTAAGGAAAATTAGTAAAATAAGATGTAAAGGAGTAAGAGCTTGGACCTGAATTTGTAGGTCATAGCTGTAATAGACAATACTAGGTTAGATGGAGCCACAGGTTGGTAAGTAACCTTTTTGGCTACATTTCTCAGATGCACCACTTAGATTGGCCAAATGCATTATACTCTTAAAAAGTGATTTTTTTCCTAGCTCTAGATCCATGAAATATAAGGCAGTTTTTAAAAATCTGGCTGAGTTCCAACTTTTATTAATGTCGGTACACTACGTTCCCTAGCATCACGTTTTGGTATCAATTTTAAGCCAAGAACTGCACTGTAAAATTGGTTATGTGCAAGTCAACACACAGTAATCCAGAAACTATTGAATTTGTTGGTTTGCTAGAAAATAAAGCTGAAAGTGTTCTGTTATTTGGCAAGCTATAACAACTCAAGAACACACCAGCTATGTAAAGTAACACTTCTGATGGGGAGTCCAAGAGCATCTAGAGGATTCCAGGTTCTCCAATCATGAACTAGGGAGAATTGTTGATTTTAGGGGCATTTTTTAAATCTCAGGACTACAGAACCTGCAGCTGTTGTTACTCCAGTTCCACCAGCCTTTTGCCAGCCTGACCAGTGGGGAAGAATTATGGAAGTAGTAGTTTATTAAGATCCAGAAGAAAATGCATCTGTTTATGTAACTCATATTGACACCTAGTTTGTTCATATTATCCAAAGGATATTATCTTCAATTTCAGCTGCAATCTTCTCACAGTTCACTCCAAACTCCTTATAATCATCTAAGGAAGAAAAGGTCCAGAGAGGAAAAGAAAAATTAAGATGTTCCTACTGCAGTTTGATTGTGCATGAAACCACTGAAAATACATTTCTGTTATTAACGTCTTACATGATGTCTTTTCTACTCCAATAGAACAGAGAATTTAGACTGAGAGGAGAATAGAGAAATATAGGCATAATGTAAGGCAGTGTTTACTTACAGAATACCATAGGTATTGCTACTGCTGATAACCAGAATTCATGAATTTAAATAAAAACAAAGACATGAAATAAACATCTAAAAATCCTCCCACACAGAAAAAAGAGAGCATGTTTCTGAAATCTAATTGTTTCTGAAATCTAATTTACAACTCATCTCAACAGCAATGAAGTGATTTCTCTTCTTCCTCCCTCACACCTTGGGCAATGACCAACAAAAATGGCGGGAGATTTAGGGTAAATAAGAGGAAAGCAATTCTCCCCATGTTATGCTATGTCATTAAGTTATGCCTGTATCTTGAGCTCTGACAGGGAGCACCCAGGCTGTGAAATGCTCCTGAAGTCATAGGTATATTTGTTGTTGTTTTCCTTACCATCCATTTTCAGAGCTGCAGAAATCATCTCGATGCATTTGCTCCGGACAGAGTCAGAGGACACAGGGGAAGAAGGGGGAAACACTGGAGAGATGGGACTTGTAGGCGTCTTGGGAGCATCTTGTCTTGGCTTGCTGTTGGATCTAAAAATATCCACATATTGTGATGTTGAACCATTTTCACATAGCATAATTGCTGCCACTTCAAAACATTCTGACTTCAAGGGCATAATCTAGTTAATTTATTTCACCATCTTTCTAGACAATTTCTTTCACCACCTGAGGTCAGAAAATCCCACACGTGCCTCTAGACTCTCCCTAGCAGTAAAACCAAACCACCCATTCCTTAAAAGATAAATTCTCATTTTCCTCAACGAATAATTAGAACAATAGCAATGTTTTATTGAGGCTATCTCTTCCCTTGTTAACTTCCTCATCGAATTTTCGTGCCTGAATAATTTGACTTTTGCACAAGAGACCCAATTATTCGTTTGACAAACAATTTTTCCAACATGTGCTTGCTTGTTGTTTAGTCGTTAAGTCTGATCCCATGGACCAGAGCACGCCAGGTCCTCCACTGCCTCCCATAGCATAACGTGCTTGCTACTTCCTTATTAATTTTATGAAGGTCATAACTGCCTTCTATGAAAAGCCATCATCAGTTTGCCAAACTAGTAGTAGCAGTGATATAAAAAGGCTAGTGAAGTAGAACAGGAACATTGGACATTAGCTTACCTATCCACTGATGAGTTTTTCGGAGAAGAACAGGAGGAGGAGGACAAGGATGAAGTAGAGTCGTAAGATCTTGAGCTTTCAGAGGCTCTTCTTGACAGTGGAGAAAAAGGGTTGCAAATAATAAAAGTTGCAAAAAAGAATAATCAAACTCAAGGTTCCTAAGCAGAGGTCTCTCTGAAACTTTCAGCTGAAGATGCCAGGGGTTGGCACCTTATGCAAGTACAGTAAAGCATTGGCAATGGTCTCTCCTCCTAACATTAACATAAACAATTGTCTGCATCTAGAATAAACCGTCTTAGTTTATGGCCATACATATGTTTTAGGTTTAAATTCCCGGAGGACTCAGCTAGCATAGAGCATGGCAGATAAAGTCCAAAATGGCTCATTGTGTGTTATGAAGCCACTTCTAACAAGGCAATTCTGACAGAGTTTTCAAAGTCTCCGAAATACACATCTTTTCCTTCGGTCGCATCTCCCCACTGGATTTCAATGGGTTGAGCAGCAATTTGGACCTAAAGTTTTATGGATTCAATAAAGGTGTTATTGATATCCAATATCCCAACATATCACGTTTAAGATTCAGCTGAAGTTTACAGTGTGCCAAATGCTACTGGAGTTCTAGCCATCAGCCCAAAACAGCGTATTCCTATCGTTTTTATTACTCGCTAGCCACCCTAGAAAAGTAGGACGCTTGGAGGACGAGTCACTCCTTACACGACACACGGGATTGTGTGGGAATCTCAAATATGGGAATACCGATTTTTCTGTTCTCCATCAGGACTTTGGCAGAGCTTTTCTTGATGGGAAACTGAACTCTTCCAACCAGGGGCGGGACTCTCTTTCTCCGCTCTGCCCTTCTGCATCTTTGATGCTTCTGGAAGACAGAAAAGAAACATAGGATTGACCAACTCCTGGCAGTGTAAGACCGTTCTTAGCAGAAACATGACCACTCCAAGGGCTTGTTCTGTTTCGTACACTGTTAGAACAACTTGGAGCCCAAAGGCAGAATTCATTGAACAGTGAGTTTGTTTACCTTGCAACAGGTACTCCAGTGGCTGCCCACTTAAAGGCAGTACCTGGAGGAGGTGGGGCAAGAGAGCCAGGATGCTGCCTCTGAGTGCGCACCAACCAGAGGGGGTGGGGCGCTGAACCAAAAGCCTGTTGCAGTGGTAGGCGAACCAGGCCGAACTGCCAACCGACGGTTCATGCCCATCTCAGCTTAAAACCGTAGGTCATCGCAATTTATCAACAGGAAAAGCATTGACCACACTAACATCACAGATTTACACAAAAATAGAAAGTAACATGGCTTCCTTAAAACCGTTGATGCGTGACATATTTCTTTACTGCCAATGCAAATGTTGCTCCTTGATCGGTAGTGGATGGAAAGTGTCAGGAAACTTCAACAGGTCCAAAATGCAGCAGTCTGATTGTTGACCGGGGATGGTTACAGGGATCACATAACCCCCTCTATTACAGCAGCTCCACTGGCTTCCAATCAGTTACCAGGCACAATTCAAAGTGATGGTGTAAACCTAACAAAGCCCTAAATGGTCTCTATTACAGCAGCTCCACTGACTTTCAATGAGTTACTGGGCAGAATTCAAAGTGATGGTGTAAACCTAACAAAGCCCTAAATGGCCTGGGTCCAAGCTATCTCAAATACCATATCTCCCATTATGAGCTGGCTGGAGTGTTAAGATCATCAGGGGAGGACTTTCTCTCAGTTCCACCATCTTCACAGGTGCGTGTGATGGGGACACAGGAGAGGGACACCTCTGTTGCTGCTCCTAGACTCTGGAACTCCCTCCCACAGGAGGCCAAGCTGGCCCCATCTTTGCTATCCTTCCGCAGGCAGGAAAAGGACTTTCTCTTCAG